GTTGTAGGTGCTGGGTGGGCCGGGGTCATGAATTATGTAATACCCCGTGATCAAGTCAGGCTCAATTTTACTCTGCGATGGAAAAGCGGCGAGAGGGAGCACTAAAATGGAAAAAAGAAAGAATTTAAGCCAAACATTATCTGATCCAGTCCGTTGGCTTTGTCCATGCGGGGGACAGCTAGCCTTCCCAACACACCACATTCTCCCGAACGCTACCATTAGACAGAACCAGACACTATATGACTCAAATGTTCTAAAAGGAAATCCTGAACTCTCAATTGCACCCATAAGAAACCGCCACCATGACTTGTCCAGCGCCCGCATCCAACCCCACAACCTCCACGACGCCCAAGGTGAAGAACATCTTCAACCCGCGCCGCCTCCTTATCCTCACACCAACCTCCCAATCTCTCACAACAATCCCCCCACTCCTTCACTCCTTGACCGGCGTCCCTGTCGTCGACCCGCCACAACAGCCAGTCCCTTCACCACTCGCAACCCCATCACAGCCAGCCTTAAGTTCAACACTCCCGCCACCAACAAGTACCTTTGCCGGCTATACAACCCATAGCCCTCTCCGCCTCAAAACAAAATACTATACAACAGAAGTTCCCGTGTGGGTCGACGAGATCCCACTCGAGATCCACGACCCAGACACACAAAGCACTACCACACCCGCACCAACAGCCGAGCAATGGAAAACGGAGTTCCTAAGCACAGAAGCTGAGATCGTGCGCGAGGCTGTTGGGGCTCTGGTTGTTTGCGCGCATACTCCTAGCGATGTGAGACCTGTACCAGGATCCAATGTAAAAGCAGACCCCGCCGAGCGGCCTGACGTGCGTGCCCTGCGTGACCTGATGCGCGGTATCAGCGCTGTAAAGGATCGCATTGATGAGGAGCGCGGCGAACTGGGTGATGTTCCTGGTGTTTTTGTGTTGATTGGGAGTCGGAAAGGGGCGGCGAGTGTAGGAGTGAGTCAGCAGGGATCCAAGGATCCCGATGCAGACCTGGGGCTCGGTGTTGATGATGAGGATTTAGATGGTGGGGATACAGTGCCATTTTCGGTTAGTTGGTGGGAGGATCAGTTCTATGACATGGGGTTATTGGGGTGGGAGATTGTTGAGTGGGATCCTAAGGAGGTCTTGGAGGCTGAGACAAGGAATCAGTATGGGGGTCAGTTTACTGAAGCAACCTTTTGTTTCTTGGGTTGTGTTGCAATATTTTGGATTTCTGCTGACTTTGTGCTACTACTAGAACGTGAGGGTATGCCTCGTATCAAAGAGGTTCTTGAGAATCACGACTGGTCTATGGTTGGAGTTGACTCTGGCTTTGACCGAGAAAATGATCCTGACATGGATTCCGATGATGATCTTCAAGACCAACTATTGGGTTTAGGTGGCTCTCGTGGGTTTGACGATGAGGTCCATGAATTAGAGCGTGAAATGTTCGGCTTGCGTATGGCAATTGAGCGTGGAGGTGGTGATGGTGATGCCACAGATGATTCTGATCACGATGGCGAGTGTGAGATTGAAGTGGAGAGCATGGAGGCATTGATGATGCGCATGCAGGCAATCAAAGGTATGAATATGTTTCGATTGCTCGGCATGGTTGAAACTACATTGTACTTGCTAACTTGGCTATCAGATATGAGCTCCGAGCTGCCAGAGGGTGAACGGAAACGATTTGCTGCGAAGGCCGTGCAGAAGATTATGCGCGAGCTCTGAGATTAACGGTCATTCTAAGCAGGGTTTAATTAAAACAATAAACAATTCATGTGGACATATCAAATCTATAACCCGTTAGTCATATCCAAAGAGGTCCTCTGTACGACTAGTGTCATTCCAAAAAAACTCCCCAAAAAACAAATTGGATATAGATCCAGCACTGCCACAAACCGAGCCACACCCCAAAGTGTCCATTCGATCCAGTGCGCTTCTATGACGTCAGGATATTCCAAGGCACAACGCCAACTTGACAATGAGCTGTATTTTTGTGCATGGATCAACCTGGTTAGCTTACTGCTTGAAAGACTCTGAGCTTCCTACATAATCTTCCTCATTCTCCACACGTGTACTCGAAACGCCTCTTCGTCATGCCTTGAGTCACTATCCAAACTCAACCTTATACAGTTCCAACGATCTACAACAACTTCTCTCTCACTTTGCATGTGTTTTGAACATACTCAATAACCAATTGAAACGACACTAAACTCTTTCCTTTTCAGGATGCATTTCCCGGCACAGAGTTGCGCCCCTATCGTGTCGGCGGCGACGAGGAGGATATCACAACGCCATACTCCGAATGCTTCGTTGGTGAAGATTGGCTGCGCAGAACTAAATTGCCGGGCTAGTCGCGGCTCTTTTGTTGCTTCTGGATGTGTTCGATTTTTCTAGGAGAGGTGTCTCGACAGGAGTATTGGGCTCAGAGCTTATGGTATATCACCGATAATGAAGCCGGGACGTGCTGGGCTCGCTGCAGTTTCACGAGATCACCTTGCATGGATTCAGACCACGAAATTTAGCAGTGCAGAGTATGTACAAATTACAGGCGAGAATCAAAAGACAGAGGAGCTTTTGGAAAAGTTCGAAGTTCAAGAGTGCAGCCAAGAGGCTCGACCTCAGCGGACGGTTCTTAGTGAGAACGGTGAGAATGGAAATTCTCCAACAGAAGGAGCGAAGTGGCCTGAAAGGATGACAAAAGGCAAGGTGCTGCTATGGTTACCTCAAATTTCAATGCTGACTTTTAGGAGTAGGTAAAATGTTGACGACGCCATCGCGACTTTTCAAATTGATCATCCCTTTAACGACCGTTGGCATTGGGGGCCATGAGAAAGGTATGTTAAATTTCAACATTTTCACCGGGCATCACTGGGCCATCATGCTCACGGCCCTCTTAGAAATTGAGCCCATAGCCATCTTAGTCCATCCCCAGCAACCACTATCATACCTAGAGCGCCTGATCCAGTCAGAGCTACCCCCAATCAAAGGCCATACCGACAAGCTCCGCCCACCAGCCATATCCTTTATCGCCATCCAGCACGATGACAATGCAATCAAGCCAAAAAAGCGAATCGAAGACGAGATAGACCTGGACGCCACCCAAACCAAAGAGAAAGAATTCATCCCCGGCAACGACGGCGTTGGTGGCAGCAAACCGCTCAACGGCCGATCACCCAGCCAGCACCGCCGGTCCCGAGAAGAAGACGTCGAAACCTACAGCTATCCGTGCAACACGAACGGCGCCCCTCCCCGCGACGGTGAACCCGAGCGCTTCGTGCGCTGGTCACAAGCCACAGAGATTGGCGACTTCATCCGCGATGCTGCGCGCGCGGGCGAGTTTATCGTGACAATCGAAGGAGCGCCATCCAGTCTGAGCCAGATCCGCGTCACGGTGCCGTCGTTCAACGAGCGTACTTATTACCTCCGCATGCGGCTGCGCAAGCTCTCGCGACGTATCCAAACCATGGCGGATGTGAAGGAGGAGTGCGATGCGCTAGCACATCGTGGTGCGCAGCGGGTTGCGATTGGCGGGTTTGGAATACTTTCCATCTGGTGGTTTACGGTTTACAGGTTGACGTTCGAGACTGATCTCGGATGGGATACCATGGAGCCTGTGACCTACTTGGTCAGTTTGTCTACGTTGATGGGGGGTTATTTGTGGTTTTTATATCACAATCGGGAAATCTCTTACAAGTCTGCGCTGGATTTTACGATCAGTGCGAGACAGAAGAAGCTTTATCAGTTGCATAGGGTTGATTTACAGCTTTGGGAGTCTTTGATTGATGAGGGGAACTCGCTGCGTGGGGAGATTAAGAATATCGCAGCTGAGTATGATGCTGAGTGGAACGAGCGGGCTGATGAGCAGGATAAGCGTGTGATGGAGGTCTTGAAGTCAGATCGTCGGCAGAAGCATGGGAAGAAGAAGGATTCGGATGACAAGAATGATGAGGATGATAGATGATCGTTTCGATCTGCTTCCATTTTCTTCAAGTACCTGTCCTTTGCATTCCCTTTCATTTCTGGTCGCCCAACGGTCTTGAAATTTGAAATCTAAATCATACAAAATAGACCTTAAACAGCATGGATGCGAAGTGAAAATCAGACAACCAAGATCACTAAGAGAATCCGCTCAACTCCAAACATTTCACAGCGTCCCATTTCGCACAGGATCATAGTACTTCTTCGGCTGTGTCGTTTCGTCCTGTCTCATACGTTTATCTAAAAGCACCCATGAGCACCACGTTCAGCTATCAAGCATCTCAAAAAGAATCACAAAATACATACCAGACTCCAAGCCCGCAGAACCCCCAGCTTCCCCCTTCCTCCGGTTCCGATTGTTCCTCACATCCCGCGACCGGAAAACGCTATACAACAACCAACCAGCAACCCAATTCGGGCCGTACTCGCCATTCGTCGCCCCGCGCTCAAACAGGCCGCGCACGAGCGGCGGGGCATTGTGGCAGATCTCGAGGATTGCCCAGCGCTGGCAGTCCGGGCGGATGTGGTGCCAGAAAAAAGGGGGGCGGGTTGCTGGGTCGGCACGCACGTTGTCGAGGAGGTTAGCGGTGTCTAGGTTCATGCGGTTGTAGACAATGATTGCTTCATCCTGGCAGCGGCTTGTTAGGGGGATTGTCGGGATATAAGATGTGGGTGTGTGCATATGAGTATAGACAGGGAGAGGGAGAGAGTAAGCGTTGAAGATCCGGTTGATACTTACTCGCATAGCGCGGTAGTATTGCTCATGATGCGGGTCGTGTGGGTTTAGACCCAATGCATGCATGAATTCTTCCTTAGAGACTCGAGGTCCGACGGGCATTTTGTTGGATTCCTCGATTAGATCGATGGGATTGAATGGAGATTGTGGTCGAAGAGTAGAACCGAGCGTGTACATCAGCGGTGGAATAAAGATCCAATGAGGGAGACCAAGATTGGTGAATGTGAAGAAGCATACTCACAGCCCGCCTCAAAGCCTGACTTTTATATCCCTCTCCCTTCCCATTCAAACAGATCTCAACGACGCAGAAACTCGTATAACGGCCGTTGGCTGCAAATTGCACTGTGCCGAAGCCGCCGTGCAGATACAATCAGAGACGCCTATGCCGGAATGAAGCAGAGCGAACGGACAGCGCGAGACAAGAAACAGAAACAGACGCAATCAGAACAAGCGGGGAAATGGGGAAATGGAGAAATGGGGCAAAGGGCAAACCCGCAATCAGATCGATATAACAGAAGCACAAAAATTCGGAGCAGAGGACAGGGATCTAAGAAATGTACTTCGAGGCTAAGATAAAAAACCTCTCACCTAAAGATGGAGATTATTTCTTTTGCTCTTGGCATGCGTGTATGACCAATGGCCAGGATAAAGATTGAGGGAACCAGTTTAGCATTGCAGTTGAGGCATTTCTTTGCTATTCTGGATTTCTTTTGACTGCTGTGGCGCCTACAATTGTCTCTCCGGGATAAGATTCTACTGTGCTTGTTGCAGTATGCGTAGAGTCGGGTAGTACATGTACAATGAAGTATAGGGGTGATCACTGCACACCCGTTCATAAACAACCCCGGCCTACATCAAACTGATCCGGTCTAGAGTATGCTCGCTTTTAGCAGTCTAGCGCATGCAGGGTAGATAAACTGTTGGGGGGGCTGGTAGAATCTAGAGAATACTGCTATGGCGCTGAGGTACAGTTTTTCTCGGTGGGAAGTAGATTGCGGGCATGAAGTTCCGATCTGACAAACGAGAGCTTGCACCGGAGGCGAGAAAAAGAAGAAAAGGAAGAAATCAGTAATACAAGGCCTCTTATTTCTGTTCTCTACCTCTTGTTCCCCCCCTCCAAAAGACCCATTGCGGGTCAGTCTGAACAGTGGAATATAGCGAGACATTCGCAAACAGAGTCATCGTGGACCAAGAACTCGGGATCGAGGACTGAGCGCGAAGATGGTAAGCTAAGTGGGCTTTGGTATGTCGAGGGTGACTTGCTGAGCTCAGGTCTGATATCCGAGACAGACGGGTAAGAGATATATGTATGCTTGCATGCATGAGAAAGGGGTTTTATTTTTCGAGTTCAGTTTGCACAGTGCTCGGAGTACAGACTACTAGATCATATCACACGTCGGAACCCTCTCCGCCTGTCAACAGGTAGGGCATTCGGCAGGAATAGCAAGTGTGTCTGGATAATAGTCTCGTTACTATACACCTGTACGTATCCGTAGTGAAGGAGATCGACATAGCTCTAGCTTAACAGAACCAAATTTGGAAAGTCACATTCCCAACCGAGGACATCCACTGTGGAGGGAGCTAGGAGAACCACGTCGTGCATCCCGAACTCGGCGTCGAGGCCCACTGAAACCCAACCCAGCAGCAAGCGAAAGATTCACAGCTACCCTTGCTAGCGGGAAGTAAAGCTAAATAAGGCACCGGTGCCTACCCGTCAGCTTGCGGGCATCCCGCAGAAAACTAACGCTCGTTGGCTTTGTCGTGTGACCTGCCAGGCCGGAGTCCAGACCAGACTTGAATCGAGCATAAATTCGACAGACCGGAACCTGAATCGGTGCTCTTGCTTGTTTCTGAATCGGCTTTTAGATTTTCGATGGTCAGCGCGTACGTGCGTCCCGTTGTGGGGAATGGGATTCCGGTTGGAAGATGGATTTGACTCGATTTCGATTTTCTCGTTTGTGATCGGTGCATCTGCAATGATGGTTGGTTGGATGGGATGAGCAACAAGACAAAAAAAAGCACGCCGGCCTGATAATTGGATTTCGATCCATCGTTTTTGGTATAGGCCGAGCGACAGGGTACCTTTCTAACTCGATAGCATTGACAAGAGTATCATTGTGGCAGCTAATACGCATGCCGCAACCTAGTTTGACAACTACCAGATGGCGACCAGAGCAAATAGATATGTCATATTATACGGACGCGACATGTAACATTCGACAGGAGGTCCTGCCGTCCAATCTTCAGCTCGGCGGAGCTTTTCCTCGTTGGCGCTGCGATTAAAGAACGGATATCATATTGTGTGGAAGACGGGGGCCCGGTCAATGTGGATCATCTGCTGCGATTTGAATGAGAATGCATAATCCCGCTGTTGCATCTTATAAAAGCAGCTTTTTTTTTGAGAGAGAGAGATTAAGCTTTGATTGAGACGACTAGGCCAAGGAGATATGAGGAGCACCTGCACCTGCCCTACTAAATCGTGACTTCGAATCCGAACGCTCTCGAGAGGTGCTTTTAAAAAAAAAAAATCACAGCTTACTCCGTTGTGAAAGAACTTTAGCTTATCAGCCCAGTCGAAAATCATGAGCTACATGCGAGAGTGCCGTTGAAAATCACCGGTGTTGCACCATCTCCGCACTGCAAGTCGCCGGTATTTGTTTACCACTCGCTATTGACCATGCAAGAGCGGATGCAGACACAGATACGGCAGGGTTTGCTGTCATTTGGAGTAGATGGTGGAGGATGGGATCTGTAATTTTGAGTGCACTACTCTCGCAAAGCCCGGCACTTGGGTCTTGACTGACACTCATATCCATACAGAAATTTCGAACATGTCAAATTCCACCAGTCAATAACTTGCACATTGTTAAACAGATGCTGTCTGAACTGTCGATGACAGATAAACAGCCCATATGAAGAACCCACAGGAGAAAGATTGTTAGAATGAGCAGACGTACCCTCCGTTGATTACAAGAATGCAATGACAGATCTAGCAGAGCGACACAACCAGCCTGTCAAGTAGCGATTGAGCATCCGAGATTATGTCGATCATCCTGGGGCAACGAATAAAGTTCCAGGGTTATCCGGGGTCCCCAGAGGCCCACGCAAGTGGCGGAAGGCTATAAGCTTTTTTTATTAGGGCGCCACTTCTCGGCTTGGGTACTTGGATGTTTCAAGGTGGGCGATTCGACCATCGGAGAAAGTTCTCCCGAATGACCATGCCGGGCAACGTCGGAGTCTGTTTAAACCCTGTGATCGGGTACTTTTGGTTGAATCATTTGGCTAGACTCTTGACGTCCATGTTGTAGGCTATACTCCTTGCGTTGTATGCACCCCAAAACTTACGCAGTGCCTACTATGCGAAGATCCACAAAGCAAAAAGCGCAAATAAAGAGGAAGAAAACAGGGCCAAACAGAGGCACTCTTCCGCATGTCGCCATTGTTCAAAACTCCTCGGAATCGTCCCAACTCTCGCACCTACACTTACGTGACAAACCAAGAATATCCGATTCCACACCAGTGTCCGGACTGGAAGGGGAGATATGGTGATGGAGGTTGTGATGTACGTGTCAAGAAAGCCAGAAGAGCCAGGATTGGAAGAATGGGAGATAAGAGAAAGGGAGTGAAAAAGGGCAAAGGGGGAAAAGTAAAAGAAAAAGCCATTTGCCATGCTCCATCCGTCGCTAAAAAGAAAAAGGGGAGGGACATCTACCAGCCCGCATGACCACTTATTCCGAGGCTTCCTTGGTGGGCTCCTTAGTCTCCTTGATCTCATTGGTCTCCTTCTTGGTCTCTTCCTCGGGCTTTTCTTCCTCGTTTTGCTCCTTAACCTTTTCCTGTTCTGGCTTCTCTTCTTCCTCCTTCACATCCTCGCCGTAGTATCGGCGGAGGAGCTTCTCGACCTTGCGATATTCGACCTCAACTTCATCCAGAGTCTTTTTGATAGCCTTGAGGCAGACCTCCGTGTCTGGTTGATCAATGATGCCTGTCTCATCTTTGTGGGCACCAAAATTTTGGATCTTCTCGCAGCCGTCCTTGACCTTGATAAGGCCCAGTGTGGCCGAGGAACCCTTAAGGAAGTGACCAAGGGAAGACAGTTCATCAAGGTTCTTGGCATCTCTGTTGTGCGAATATTAGCATAGAAAACAACCGGTATTCCAACTGCAAGAAATACCAACACTCACATTTCCTTCTGAATCTTCTTGTAGGTGCTCTCGGCCTGGTCAAAGAAACCGTACACGATGCTCTTGCTAAAGTCACGATCCTCCTCGTCATCGTCCATCTCAAGGATCTGTTCGAATGTGCTTTCGTCGAGGATTTCTTTATAATCAGAGAGTCTGGGCGGACCCTGCTTGGCCTAGAATTGTATGTCAGCATGAGGTACCTATGACCAAAGGGCAAGATGTACTTGCCGTCTCGGCCTTTTTGGTATCGGCTGGTGCCATGATTGTGTGTGAGAGGATGTGTGTGGAGATGTTTAAAGGTGTGGGTGGGAGCAAGCTAGTGCAATACAGTGATCGTCACAATCGTTGGATGGAAATGTGGTTGATCTCTTCGGTCTGATGTTCAACCAGTCCAGATGGAATACGAAGCTCTGCTTTCAAATTTCAGTCAGCGCAGATTCATCTAAAGTATCCAGATCTTGGATGGATAGAACAGTGTGGTAAATCATTGGATGAGAGGTCCCAAATGCAAAGATCAACGATGATACAACAAGGACGTCAGAATCGCAAAATCTGCCCACAACATGTGTGTCGTCTTACAAAGCCAGCAGGTGTTACGGGTCCAGGCACACAAGGTAGCAAGCTGTTAACGGGGACAGTGATGAGTGGCTTCGGGGTCTATGGCCAAAGGGCAGAGGCTGAAAACGATGAAAATACAACCACCAGATTGAGCGATCAAGATAATGACTAGGGCTGAGTAGTGAGAGGTAGGAAAACCAAATCAACGGAAGTCGAGGGGGGTAGAGGGGTAGTGCGATGCACAGCAATCAGGGGCTGGAGGGGAGTGGGGGGGGGGAGAATTAGTTGAACCAGATGTGGAGGTATAAGTAGAGGGAACAAACAGGGCCATTCAGCGCGTATACTCGAGCGGCGATCCAGTCACAGTCCTGTAAACAAGAACTAGCGCATCGCATGAGCTGCAGCCCCAAAGCCAGGGTCCCCACTTGACAGGGAATTGTGGACAGGTAAAAAATGAAGATATCCCAAGAGAGAGGGGCAAATAGGAAAGTCCATCCCACCTAATTTTTTTTTCCCCTCTTAGTTTCTGAGATGACCAATTTCCGAAAAATGGCGATAAGGAATTTGAATAAAACTCAATGAGAAAACGACAAAGGTCAAAAAGCCAAAAAAAAAAAAGACACGGAATAGGAGAGAGGGAGAAGTCAAAGGGAGAGGAAGAGAGAGGAAATCGGAGGGGCGGAGAAAGGGAAGGGGAGATGTGGGTAGGTCAATTCCAATCCGAAGGAACTAGAGGAAGTTGGGAATTCGGTGATTCGGTGCGCGTTAAGGGGGAAAAGATTTGGCGAAAATTGTGGAAAGTTGCGGGAAAAAAAGTAAAAAAATTAAAAAATAAAAATGAAGAGTTCTTGCTTGTATGGTAGATCTCCATTTTATATAAGAAAAGAAATATTGGTAATATTTTACCTTCCTCTCTCATCGCCTTGGCATCGAACAATTCGGGGAGATCAGCATTGCACTGTGCACTGGATGTAATCTGTATGATATTATACTCTTAGCTCAATCTATGTGATGGTATTTTTATTGGATTCAACATTCTCATAACGTGATTTGATTTCTTTTCCATGATCTCGCCCCAAAAAAAAAGCAATTCTAGACATCCGACACGATTAGTACAATCTTGTACTCCGCAAGGAGTACGGAACAGACTTTCTTGCTTTCGACTCCAATTTTGCTCTCTCTTGGATTAGAGAATACCTAATCATCTATAATCTCAGCTACGATCTTTCCAAAGAATGAACATCACAAGTTCAAATTCCTCCGGGCTTCGTTCATGAACCTGGTGGAGTACAACCATGGCAACAGCTCTTCAATTGATGGATCCATTGGCAAGAAAATGGGCGGAATGAACGGGACTATCCCTCGGCGACCTGCTGTAATTGTACTGGATAGTACATGTTGGTGGAGACTGATAGGGCAAAAAAACAGTCAAAAAAAAATGACACGTTTTCTGACCACAAAAAAAACCGCCCCCATACATCTGGGAGCAGTACGGAGTAGGGAGACCAGCAGGACGGCATCATCAGACCGCCGATCCCAGCAGGGAACGTCATTTGGATCTTTTCCCAAGCGACGTGTGGACGGTCACACGCGGAAACATTTGTGGAACTGCAAGTAGAGAGGCCTTTTAATGGTCCCTGAGGGCCACTATTTGAGTGCTTAAGGAGCAGGGCAACTTTTCATGGCTACATGCTTCGTACTTAGAATCAGAAAAAAAAAAGAAACCCACCAAAAAACCAGCTACTGTCCTAGCAGAATTTTAGCCGCATAGGAAAAAAACCGGAGAAGACGCAATATCCCGGCTCGCACAGCAGGGAGGCACGATCGACTTGGGTCAAGTGTGCAGATAGAACCTGATCCTTGTTGGTCTGGACCCTCAAGGACCGTGTCCAGTAACTCGGAACGCGCTCATTCTGATCGTATTCTGCATGAATTTCTTGTTTGACGCACTCGGTGACAACGAGTTGAACGATCAAAATGTGAGGCCATTGCTCCTCGGCTCTTTTTTTTTCTCTCGGAGGAAGAAAAGGGGGGAGGGGTGAAATTGCTGGGCTAAGACACGAGAGGATTACACTGTCACTGATGACGATGGTGTTTTGATGCTATTATTTCATGCTTATTTTTTTTTCTGCACTAGGCTTCACAGTTCCAGTATCATATGAAAAAAAAAGCGGCGTAGAGGTTAGTTAAATGTCAATTGAGGTTGGATATGTTGTATGTCCACATACGCGAATACGCAGCTATCTTTGCATATATAGAGAGGGATGGTATTTGTGCATCTTCTTTCCCCTGGGTTTTGCGTGTGGTTGGCTCTAGGCCATTCTCCACCACTCCTCACCAATTAGAAGATACGTCGGTTGCCATGACATCATAGTATGGGGCCGTAGTTCAGCCCATCCCAGCCGCTGATGTCATTTGAGCGTAGCGACAAATTACAACGATTACGTCAATTACATCAAATTACATCAGATTACGGAGTACATCCGAAGGACATGGTTTGCATTCTTTTCTATGTTGTACTGGAGTACCCTAACAATACCTTAATGTGATTGTCAAGCACGAACTTTAGATTGTGTAGCCTCCTTAAGTGACAGAGGTCAATGCCTATGCAGGGCGACATAATAGCCTCGCCCCAAGATGTCAATTCGTATATGCCCATAAACCAGTGCCGAGTTGTGTATGACAGGAGAAGCGAAGGGTTGTATAGTACGGAGTTTAAATGCAAGATGTGTAAATTCAATCAAGTTCGTCGCCTTCGCTGTTTAATGTGCTTCAGATTCTGGTAATCAACACTCATCCACCGGGGAATGAATTAGATTGTATTTTGAAGTAGTTTTTGTCAACGTGGGGTGAGTTTCACGTTAAGTTGACCGAGGAACCACGACAGAAGTAAATTTCCCGTTGTCATCTTAAAACTGAGAGAGAGCACGAGCACATCAAAATCCCTCCAATGTCTCTCCATCTACTCCCTAGCCTCGGACATGCTATCCTAACCAGTCAAGTCCGAAAATAGGCCAGACCACATATTTTTGCTGCCGGCAATACGAGATGGCAGTTAGCTTCTTGCATTAGTCTGGACTAGATCATGCAGTTTAAGACTGCGGTGCCAGCTAGTTTTTTGTATCACTGACAGCTAAGAGCGCCTGCATAGGAAGCCATCCGCTTGGCTGCCAGCCTGTGCACTCGATTGCCTTCGGCGAATCACATCAAGCCTACTCCTCGGCAAAGAGCTTCTGATTTGCTTTAAAACATTCTAGATAGAGAAGGTGTGTTCGAATCGGAGAACTAAGCTACGGGGTATATTCAGGGCGAGGAGCAAAGACACTACAACATACATGGCTGATTTCTCGAAAAGGTGATTGGCCAAGTAGTGTGTAGCTCCCAACTGCTGGGAATATCAAAGTCATAGTGATGCCCATATGCTCTCAATATAATGATGCGTAAATCGCCCAAGACACCGAGCGGACAACTGAATAAGGATGTGTGCTATACCCCAGACCCCAAACACGTTTTTTCTCCATAGCTTCTTCGCGAGCTCTTCCAGAATGCTTACATAAGGGGCCGGACCTCGGTCCGTTTTTTTGTTGATTGCGAGCTTCCCAACCAAATTTCCAGCTCCTCCGTCCAGGACAACACCATCAACAATTGCCTCCACGAGTTCGACCAGAAGCTATTCCGGTCAAAGATGGCCTCCACCAAAACATCAAGCGCCCCGCGCTCCGGCTCCTCGGGCCTAACAAAAGCCTACCTCTTCACCTACAACACCCTCAATTTCCTCGCCTGGGGCACCTGTGTCGTCTACACAGCCTCCCTCCTCCCAGACCATGTCTCGACCAAAACTCTTCCGAAGGTCTTCGGCCAGACTTTCTCTCCGTTATTGCTGGCCACGCAGTCCCTCGCTTTGTTAGAAGTCGTACACAGCGTGTTAGGCCTCGTGCGCGCGCCGTTCATGACAACTGCCATGCAGGTTTCTAGCCGGCTGCTGCTGGTGTGGGGGATTATGGCACAGTTTGGTGGGGAGATTGTTGGTGCTGGGCGGAATACCCAGTTGGGTGATTATGCGTATCTGGGATGTGTTTTTGCTTGGGGCATTACGGAGGTTATCCGCTATGGATTCTTTGCTATTACCTTGTCTGGGAACTCGGTTCCGAGCTGGTGGACGTGGTTACGGTAAGTCTTAGTTTTGGCCCGTGCGTGACTAATGTTCAATGAGCTGACGAGTTTCGCATTGACTAGATACAACACTTTCTACATCTTCTACCCCATTGGCATCTCTAGCGAGTGCACGCTTATCTTCCATGCCCTTGGTCCTGCCGGCGAGCTGAACCCGCTTTTCCGTTACCTGCTGATTGCGATTCTCGTGATCTACGTGCCTGGTAGGTTTTACTTTTACAGTGTCCATAGCATCGGTTACTGACTACCTGCCAGGATCTTATGTCCTATACACGCACATGATTTCCCAAAGACGCAAGATCATGCGCGGCAAGAAGAGAGCTGACTAGACATCTCAGTCACGTGCAGCATGATTAAGGTTTGAATGAGTGGGAAACGAAAAGACGACCTAGATGTTTAGCCAGCTTGAAATTCAAAAAGAGCATAAGGGTCCTTCATAACTATGATCCCGCAGAGTGGGGACTAGCTTTACTTCTGTTTTCAATGTTAACAATATTCATCTTCTGGCTAGACATGACCCTTATTTCAAC